CTGACTGGCTGAAAATTGCTGGAGCCTCGTGGTTTAATACTAGTGTGAGCCTCAGGCCACATTTCCCCTCTAATTTTGGAAAAATGCAGTGCAGTTTTTCAGGCCTAGCTAATCCCCTCTCCCATACACCATCTCAGTCGTCAGCGCAGCCTGCTAATCACTTTACACACGGAGAGCAGTTAAAGAAAGAGATGTACTATGCAGAATGAGCCTACCGTTCAGCCAGGTGTTTGTTCATGTGCCTGGAAAAATTAGCAGTTCCCAGAAGCTGAGTTTACTTTCTTAAAAGGGAATATAGGTTCACTCATCATTACAAAAAGCACATTCAGGCAAGCACTTAAACGTATGAGCCTTCCAAGCAGGGAGCCATGTACAGAGGAGTGTAGTAACAGTTAATGTACTGAAGAGTCTCTAGTCAACACTTTTTTTTAGAAGGGTCAGTCTGGTTTAAAAAGGGGAGGGAGGGGAATGGCGATAATGGACGTACACTAAAACCTAGTACTGCCATTAGCATTGTCAATTAATATTTTATATTCCCTTGAAGTGCCTTTTGAGGAAATCAGCCTTCATTACCAGAGGTTCTCCACCACAAACACGGCAAACAAAGTACCTCAACTGACCGCTACAGCATCATAAGTGAGGAAAATAGAGTTAATGTAGAATCTGGGGAAATAAACAGACTGATTCAGAGTCCGAGATCAAATGGGCATTTAGATTCCAACACACACAGAAGTTCTATTACTCAAGCCAAGATTCTGATACCTTTACTCCAACTCCGCAAGTTGCTTTAGTGAAATCAATGGGATCATTTGAGGAGTAAAGTACTATTGAACATCAGTAAGGGTATCAGAATCTGGGCCTTAATGTTTGTGTGCTGCTTTGAAAACGATAAGTGCTATATAAGTGTTCAATATTATTAATATTCTCACCCAATTGTCCAGGAAAGGTGGCAAATAATTTTCTGAGGCTCTGGTTCTTCAGGATTGCTAGTTCGATGGGGCTTGGATTTTAAGGTAATTTACATTGCTCCGTCAGTGTTCTGCCAAGTATTTTTGGCACAAGCCAACTAGGTTCTTTCGTAGCTGAGTGAACCCAGTCAAAATTGGCTGGCAGAAGGCAGGACTTTTTAAAATTTATTGTGCTCCAATCAGAAAGCTGCTGAATGCTGTGCTTCTCAGAAAAGTGCTGTCCTTGTCCTTTTAAATGAAAGCTAGTCGGTATTCATTAGGAACAGGCCAGAGCTATTTCAGAAACTGAAGACAGCAGACACAAATCAATAGAAAAAAATAACTTCTTTTTATTTACAAAAAAAATCCAAATATTGGATGCTGTAAACAAAATTCACAATCTGTTCCCTCTAGCACTGATGCAAACACTTCAGCTCTTAGAGTCTGTTTTCCATCAGCTCTTTTTTCTGTCTGTGACAGAGCCTATAGTCAAAATGTTCCACAAGAGCAATCCAAGGAGCAATTTGCTGCAACAGGATGCCTCACAGAAGGCAACAGTTGTATGGAATTCTGAGGGAGATCAAATGTGCACAGCCTCCTACAGACTGCAAGAGTTTGCAGTGCTTCAGCCAAGCTGTATTGAAATGTGCAGGCCTTTTTTTGCTATTTACTTTGTTAGCAAGCCATTATTACAACAGCAAGATAGAAAATCCATGTACTATCTTGCAGTGGAAATTGTCTGATAAAAGAAAACCATACAAAAGAGTATATTCAAATAGATGCTGAATATGTCATTACATTTTCTTTCCTTTTCTTATATCTGCAGTTTTACCTAACACACTTCATTTTCTCAATGAAACAACAACAACAACAACAACAAAAAGCTTCTTTTGAACTGGCATGAGCCTCCAACATAATACGCTTCATATGCAGAACATTTAACAAGATGTGTTTTAAAGCTTTGCTTGAAGGACTTTGTGTAACATAAGCAACAAATTGTTTTTAAAGCACACACACAAAAAAGGAGTTAGGAAAGATATGATGTGATCTCATTGGTGTTTTTACTTTCCCTTCTATTTTTAAGAGAAAGTTCTTACATTTTGGGGGTTTTATACATATCAGAAAATAATCTGATTTCAAAGCTCTCAGATGTTTCATTATATTTACATTAAAACAAGTTTAGCTCCCTGTTGATTACCAATAAATCCAACTGTCACACAACAGTTTGACTGTAATCAAGTCAACCTTTTTAATCAGTTCAGCATTTTAAAGGGAGTACTGTTTCTTCAGCAAGTTCTAAGCTGAAATGGCTGATTGGATCGGAAAGTGAAGCCTACAGAATACCAAGAGCTTTTTTCCTGTAAAAGTACTAGTGTTCTGAAGCGAGAGAAAGAGAAAGAGAGAAAAAAACAAAAATCAGACTTTATGAAGGGGAAGGTGTGCAAACCACAGAAGCAATCCAGCTTTGAAAAGATGTTCTTATTTTACTCTTGGCCTGAACTCATGGCTCCTTCCCACCACTAACATCAGACACCTTTTAAACTACCAGCCACAGAGAAAACAAAGCCCTACCAGTTCTACCACTTGTTCATTTACATATGCAAAAATAGGTCTAATACCTATATAATATATCCCAAAACATATTATATATGTATCAAAATGTGCATGCTGAAAGGTGCAGTAGGCTAAGCCCTGCTGTGTGTACTACAAAATGAACAGCTGCTGTCAATCATAAAAAGTAATAAAATTTCAGCTGAAAGAGGAAATAAATCAAAACTTTTTAAAAAAAGCAATGGAAAAAGGCTGCCCTCCAAAGGAAAAGTACATTGTCTCATGTATTATCAGCATTTTGTGGTTGAGGCACAGCTATAGATCCCCAAACCCTTTTAAATAGTGGATGACTCATTTATTTGCTGCAAATAGTTGTGGTAAGAGAGGACATACCACATTACCAGCTGATCCTATTTCCCCAGCCCTCCCCTTAGCTTCCGTTAGAAAACCCTTCAGACAGTTACAGGCAATGCTCTGGGTTTGACAAGTACATCACAGTCTTGATCTACAGCTTGAAGTAATAGGCCATGGGAAACAAACCCTTCCTTTTCATAATTAATCAAGAAAGGCCTTCCCCTGACCAAAGAGAGAGAGGCGCGCGAGAGAGAAAAGAATGCAGCCAATGTGGAAGGGAGGGAGAGAAGAAAAGAGAAGGTGGGGACAAGGACTCCCAAGTAAACACAATGAGTGGCAATGAAATAGCTTTTCCATTTCCTGAAGAAGTCACAGGAAAGGTGCTTCAGTAAACAAATCAGGTTCCTGTTAAACTTGCCTTCAAAGATAAAAGTACAAAGGGCAGCAAAAATAAACTTGTCTTAGTAGCTCTGTAATGACAAGGGGAGAACACACTTCCAGGATAACAGTTCCTTTTCCAAACACACATTTTTAAACAATCTTCTTTTACCTGAAACTTAAATGATGCAGAAAATACTGCACTAGAATTTCAAAAACCAGTCCTCCCCCAAGAGATGTCTCTGAAGTGAAAATAGTGAAACGGTCGATTTCTTCCCACTCCCCACTGGTCTCTTGGGCGAGGAAACGAAAGTGAATAGTTATAGTTCCAATGTAAAGTGATTCCATTTAAATAAAGTACAGTACTAAACTTGTAAATGCAGTGTGACAACCAGATCAAAGATGTTTAATATTTGCATAAAAATATATATATAATATATATATAAAATATAATTTTAAGCAACCGTGCAACACTCTTAAAAAGGATTCATTTCACATTTACTAAATTCTAGTGGTCCTGGAATGCATAATGCATTCTATTAAAATATTCCTTTAAATATTAACAATTAGTGTTCAAATGACCAACTAATACAATATTCTTTAGCTGTCAGGGGGTTTAAATAGCCTATCTTTGATCCACGTTCCACTGAATTATACATCATGGAGGTATGCAGTCACAAAATTAGTGGGTAAAATGTCAAAATGGTATTACAGTACAAAATGTGAAAAAAAGCATCAGCTAATCAAATGTTTATCCATTTGTGGAATTATTATGGCTCACAAGCAACTCACTGAATTACTGTAATCTTTGTTCTTGCAACCAAAGACATTTATTTGTATCCCACCTTAATCCTGACTGGTTCATTTACTGCAAATTTTCAGGTGTGGGTTATAAATTCACTGCAAGGTGCTCACTGTCCTATGACATCCTGTTGCAAACTGGAAAACACACAGTACTTTATTTAAACATTCCTTAATTGCTACATTTTCCTAGACCATATTTAATATATACATTGTGTGTGCATGTTTGTGTGTGTGTGTATTATATATATATACACACACACACACACACGCACACACACAAACATACACACACACGTACCTATGATAACATCACACTGACAATATTAACTTTATACAGGTATTTGCCAAGGAAAAAATAGGGCATTTTCTCCACCACTGATTCACAAGCTTGTGTTTTTTTGTTTGTTTGTTTTGTTTGTTTTTTGTCTTCTTGTGTCCCTGATAAAACAAAATGCACAGTAAAAACCACAAAACTATATTTTTCTCACTTCAAATTTTCTGAAAGCATCAGGCACTTTTGATTAACATTGGTGTGTACAAATATAGTAACATCTTTTTATATTCTACTGTATCTCCTTTGCTTGGATAACTTATTTGTGAAATCTTTGGTCCTTGAGCATATTTTGTTTGCTACACCTGTTTTTCTTGCATTTTCACACTTTTAAAATGTGAAGCACGCATGCAGCTGGAAAAAATGGACTTTATCATCATGTGTTTTTTCTGGTTTTATGGTAACTGTACCAATCTCCTACTGTTCATTTGGAGCAAGCTGTTTCTGTTAAAGCATTCTATTCAAGCAAGCTATACATTCTACACAATCATCCCATAGACAGCACTTGTTGCAAGTCCCAAAGGCAGTAATTCCAATATACATTTTATTTGAACTTATCTCTGCTTCATGCCTCTACTTTTAACTCCTGAATATATGTAAGCAAATTGTTTTGTTTTTTGAGGTTTTCCCCCCCCCCCCATATTCTCCCTTTTGCAGATCCCATTCTAAAAAAAGGCTTTCCAATCTTCTCTATGCCAAAGCTATGGGAGCAGGTATTGCCAACCCATATTGTCATCAAGCATTCCTCCCTTGTTTATTTCAGGGGAAGCTATTTGCTTTTAATGACAGGCCTCTTGTGCTCTGGGGTAGAATCCAATTATTTCTGCTTCTTTTCTAGATCATGCTCACATAATTTATAAGAAGAACCACAAGCTTTACCAAACTTGAAAGCTAGAGCAGATCATCATTGCACAAAGAACCCCATTTTAAGGAGAGTATCACTCCTTTCTGCTTGTTAGAAAATGTTCTCCCCACCAGGTGTATTAAAACGGTCCTTAATTGCAGGGCAACCAAGTCGAGTATGTGTGCTGCTGGCACGTGAATACCGGTTGAACCTGGGCAATATAGTAATTGCTAAAGTTGGCATCTGCTACATATGGGGCTGGCTGGTAATAGCAGGTGACATTGGCCACATTGGGGATGATATTTTGCTCAGCAAGGACACGGATGGCCAGCATGGTGATAAGATTTAGAGTCTGTCTCCTCTCATGTCCCATCAGGCACACTGTGCTTTCATTCACCACACCATGAAGGGTCATGAGATAGTCATACTTGCGGTCCTCTAATCCCACAAAGTGGTTCTGCAAGTAAGACTCCAACTTTCTTTGCTGTTCTCCAATGTCTGAGAAGTCAATGAAAAACCTGGAACACATGTATCTCTGAAGGGACTTAATCTCAGATTCTGAAGCAGCCCTAAAGCCCCTTACCAAAAGGTTGCAGTACTTAAGAAGGCCACCTCCTCTGATTTCTTCTGGGTTTCTGGTGGCAATTATCTTGTTGCAGAGGTGATCAAAGGCTTCTTGGAAATCCCCATAGACACTCTCACCAATGATGGTCGGGTGAAAAGTTTCAGTCATGGGATTCTCTGAGCATTCATAAAAAAGCAGAAGGGAATCTAATTTGATTTGAAAGGAGTCTACACTGAACTCAAACTGCCTCCTCAGAGAGTCCACAAACTTCAGCTCCACGTTTTTGCCACTGTTGTTGGACAAGGAGATGAGACTCCATCGGTCTGAATCATTGCATACTTTTACCATTTTCTGCACATAAGCTTCCTATAATTTGAAAGACAAAATGAGCAAATGAAGAAACCAATACAAGTAATTCCCCTTCACAGACTTCATTTGCATTCTCTCCCACCTCCACCCTGTGCCCGCTTTTTGTGAACTATTTTAAGGAGTCTGGATAAAAACTGAAGGAGACATATTTAACATAAGTGGTGGCAGCACAGTAGTTGCAAGGGGTCATGGGATTCCTTATGGGATTGTGCCATGTCGGGAACAACTTTTGCAACGATGTTTTTTTTAAAGCTTTTATATATATAAGGAGAGAGACAGGTAACAAAATTAATGGCACACATAGCATATATGCCCACACACTCTCTTTCTGTCTCACACATACAATCATTCCTGGGGATTTGGAAGATCACTATTAGAATATAATACAAAAGCATTTCTATAGGCACCACAAAAATATATTTTCTACATTTTCAAACTAATCAAAGCTTGTTCTTTCAGCACAGCTCCCCCAAAACACTCCCAAATTTAAAAAATGTCCCCAAAACAGACAAAATAGGTATATGCCATTTGACATAAGCTATTTGGCATAAACTATAATAAACTCAGAAAATAAATCCTGTTTAAGACAAGAATTTCTGTTTAAAACAAGAAAATGTACAGCTTCTCCATCCATCTGGGAAAAGTGCTCACTGCAAAGAGTATTTTCGCTGCAGATACATATAAATGTTCAATGAGCTTATGATCCTTTTAAACTATGCTTCTATCCCTCTGAGTGACTCTTAAAATAAGGCTCTGTAAACTCCAACTTTCTAAGTAAATGTACCCAATAACCGTAATGACAAAAGGGGGGGAAAAGTTCACTAATCCTGGCTCCTCCTCCTTATTAGCTCAGTATGTATTGCCCTGATCGCTTTACTGCAAGTCAAACTCTCTTTGGTTCAACTGGGATATAAAATGACAGAGGAGTCACTTTTAAAAACATGTTGTAGGTGTCAATTTCATGACACCCTTGCCTCCCCCCGGCTCCACTGTTATAAGGTGCTGCTTCCCTTGGCTGTGTGTCTGGACAAGTGCAGGTTTACCTTGAGGGTAAGCGGGGTGATCTTCTCCTTGTTAACTCCGTCAGGTAAGAAATCCAAAAGGCAGTCCAAGACCACGTCCTTCACAGTCTGAAACTCGGCTTCCCCTTTGAGGTCTGCGCAGAAGATGAGGTCCAAGTCCTTGTAGCCCAGGCCACTGTCTTGGTGCAGGATGTGGCTGGCTGCCGAGCCATTGAGTCGCACGTCTCGGACCCCAATGCACTTCTCCTCCAGGCGGCTCCGCACCACCTTCACGATCTGCCGGGGCTGCATCTCCAGCGTGGGGAAGTTGCCCCGGCCGTGGATGGGGATGGTCTCGGTCAGGATGCGATCCAAGCGCCGCACTTGTTCCCAGCTCAGCACGTTGCAATGAGGGTTCTCGCCGCAAGTGCCCGTGCAATTCCCACTCCCGCTGCTACTGCTGGGGCTGCGGGCGATTTCATCGTCAGCCATGGTCCGCAGCCGTTTCCCCTCGGGAGCCTGGTACGTCCCTTTTGCGAGATGTCTCCTTGCTTCGCTCTTAACGGAACAGGAAAGCAAGCAATGAGCGCAGGGTTTGACATGCCCAGTGAGCCCTTTAGACCCCCTCCGACACTGCATCATAGAGGGGCTTTCGCTCTCCTCAGCGCCTAACAGCCGAGCTAGCTGCAGCCCCCCGCTCCCACCCATAGACACAGCGTCTATAGATGCAGACCCCCGGGCATCCAACTCACACTGACACACACACGCACCCCACCCACCCCGCCCAAAGGAAGAGATCGCTCCGATCTTTATCACCTGGGGGGGAGAGTTGCCTGCTGGAGACAGCAAAGCGGCGCTGCGCCTCTGCCCAGCCTGGGAGCGCGCCGGACCCGGGAGCCGCTATCTGCCCCGCTTTCTGCTTCTCCTGGCTACTTGTGCTCCGCCTGCTGGCTTGCTCGGCGCCGTGTGCTGTGCTGCGCGGAGCTGCTGTGCCCGGCCGCCCCGGGTGCTGCTGTCTCTGGAGCTTTAGTAGTTCTGCCTGGGAAATGTCCCCAGTAGTTTTTATATGGGGTTTCTCCGCTCTTCCGGGGCCCCGAGTTACACGCTCCCCACGCCCCCTTCATTTGCATGGACAGCCCGCTGCAGCCCTTGGCTAGGCTCCCCCGCCACGCCCACCTCATATGCATAAACAGCTGTTCTCGGCGTAGTCAACAGTCGTTCCAGAACCGCCTTCGCCCCAAGCTCTACCTCGGACCGGGGATGCAAAGCTGGAGCTACTCAGATCCTGCCACTGCTTGGCCCCAATCCCCCCAAAACTGTAGCGCGGGACGAACAAAAGAAACCCCTATTCAGCCGTTGGTCCCGCACCAAAGCAAAATTCGGACCCTTAGGCATCCCACACCAGAAATGCTGCAATACCCGCATATGGCAGCTGGATCCAGTCAAAATTTGCCTCCTAATCCCCAAATGAGAATGCCTGAATAGATACCATGTGGAGCTGCTCCTACTTCGCCAAAAAATTCTAGACCCCGGGGTATCCCTGTAGAGGAATGCCACAAAATGCCAAAGCTGGCACACGGAGCCTACAGAATCCAACCAGTTTTTGGCCCTTCCTTCCCAAATCCCCTGTCGCTACTACTATTGCACCGGCAAATGGGGACCGTGGTGCACCCAAATATGTACGTGGATCCAGCAGCCTCTTATTTGCCCTCCCACCCCATCCCTTTTCTAGGAGACATCAAGTTTAGACAACATTTTACATCAGACAAGTCTTTACTGGATTCGTTGCGTTTCGGTGAAACCAGATCACACATCTTCATCATTCTAAGCACAGCCAAATTTTATGCCATGACACTGAAATTTAGCAGTGGACTGGTCGGTCAGATGGTGATGATCTCATTATTTGTGTTTTTAGCTGATCAACTCTTGACTGAGATTTTCAAAGCAGTCTAGGAATTGAGATACATACCTTCTTATCACATTTTAATGTGTGTCTAAATCTCCTGGACTGCTTTGACACTCAGTGCATTGGATACATTAGCTAGATTGGATAGATTTATCTGAGGTAAAAGGATGGCTCCCTTTGCTATTTATCTAAAAGGTGAAAAATGGATGAATGGAGATGCTGGATTTTTCATGTGGGAGGGTGCCTCAGCTTTTTATATTGGACTAAGACTTGGTCTCTATACAATACAATATAGGTTTGTGGTCAACATTGTGCTCGATCTGACAAGACTCAGGTGCCGTATATGTGTTTTGCATTGTTCTTGTACCAGCATGAGTCTGAGCGTGTATTTTTCTGGTTAAGGATGATGAGAAATATGTGTCGTCTATTCTTATAGTACAACTTCGGGGCTTAAAAAAAATCAAACCCGAAATGCTAGGTTCCAGCAGGCTCCAGGTGCTGTCTTTGCGGTACTATTGAGCAGGGATGCACATGGGTGGGTTGGGTTCTGGGTTTTAGCGGCACTCACGCGCTATGTCAGGGTCCAGTTTTTTGTTTTCTGCAGTAAGAGCTGAAAGACGTGTTTTCTATGGAGGCAATAGAACTTGGGGGTTCAGGGCCAAAAATTGATTGGATCCATCAGGCTCCTGCTGCTGAATCCGGATTTTTGCAGCGCTCATGCTCGGTGGTGCATGAACTGCCGTCTTCCCCCCGCTCTCCCCCACCCTCGCAGTAGGAGGCTTGGGGCCAAATATCAGCAGGATCCAGGTATATCCAGTTTTTCCTCTGAGAATGATTTAACAATACAGATACAAACCTTACACAAGCAGAGCAGATTACACGCAGATCACGCAGCAGGGAAGAAGGCATATGAGTGCAGACAGGCAGTAGGTACAGTACATGCTACAATGTAAAAACTTCAGCCTTGGTTTGCACAGCCATGCGGCTAATCTTTTCTTCAATTAAAATGTCTGGTAGGCTGCTTTAAATAGTTGTGATGCTTTAAAATGGCTGGAGATGCGCCCTGAGTTTGCAGTGGGTAGATGTTGTATAAACAAGACCGTAAAAAGGAAACTCACTCTTTTATCTCTAGTATTATCTTCCGTATGTGTCACCGAAGTCCAGGCAACAGCTTCACCTGTGAGCTGCCCAATGTGGCTATAACTAGAGGCTCCTGCTACGCAGTTCCTCAGATGGATCAATCGGACACATGTAAAGGGGCGTGGGCACGGGCTGACTAGCGCATGGCGGCAGATGTGGCTGGCACGTTCCTGGGGGATGGGCGAGGCGAGCAGTCGCTGGACCAGAGAGAGCCGGACGGGACAGAACGTCACAGGTCCGGACGTTCCAGCAACAGCTGCTGGGCGATTCCGAAGGGCTGGGCTGTGCGAAGGGCCCCGCCAATCACCGCCGGTGACGGCTTCTCCCGCCCCTCGGCCCCGCAGGGCGAGGAGCCAATTGGATGAGCGTGGATAGGCGGGGCCGTGCCAGCTCCATGTTAATGAGCTCCGTGCGCTCACGGGCTGCAGCGGGGTTGGGGACACCCACGCACAGAAGGGCTGGCTATTTGTAGCCGCTCAGCCCCGGGGTAGATTCGTCGCCCTTATGGTATTAGCACCGGACAAGCAGACGGGAGAGAGATCGCACAGTGCGGCTCCTCCATGCAAGCTGAAGGGTTTCTGCCTTCAGCACAGTGGGGTGGCTCCCAGCTGCTCTGCTTTAAGGCTTCAGAAGAGGCGAGGAGATGGGGCGGCCCGTGGACAGTTACCCTAGCGAACGCTATCAACAGTGATGGCTGGGGATAGGGGTTGTTCGCCCCCTTCCCCAACAGACACCCACCCACTGTTTCTGGGGCCCCTCCCTGGGGAAGGAGATCTCCCTGCAGAGTTGAGGAATCCCATTAGTCTGCAAGCCCTTTGCCGAGGAGAACAAAGCCACGCACCCAAGCCCTCCTTTGCTGCCATACTGATTGCACTCTGGGCCGCCCCAAATGTGCAGGCCCAGCTGCTTCCATAGAACAGTGGCTGGGGAGCTTATTAACACCCAATGGGAAAGGCCAACCCACTCCTTCTGCTCTCGCCCGGGACAGCGGGGGCCCAGCTGTGTGGCAATGCCTCCCCCTGCCGGCCGCTGGGCACCGTGCACCCACACACCGGGTCCCTCGCCTCCCTTGGCGATGAGAACGCTTTTCCCGCCTAGGCACCCAGGGACGAGCCCCGCTCAGCAAACGCGACATTGTTATCCCCGCTGCAGGGGATCGCGCTTGGTCCCTGAGAACGCGTCTGCCTCCAGCTCCTTTTCCTGGCTGCTCCTGGGTAAGGTGCTGGGGGAGGGGAGCCGTAAAGGGGAACTAGCTGCCTCACATTTATACTCACTTGTCACAAAACTAAATTTATTGTCAACAAAGCTCCATTGATTTTGTAGCTCGCTGGACCCAAGCAGGGCATTGGCATTAACCCTAACAGACATCACACTTCTGGCCCGCTGACATTTCTAAGCACCGTTGCAGAAGCGTGCATGGAGTAGAGTGAGATGTAGCCAAACCCTGGATCCAACCTTAGTTTGTTTTTGTTTGGTTTTTTTTTGGGGGGGGGGGGAAATCTGGGTACCATTTTTGCAAATAGTCCCCCCTTCTTAAATTGGTTAGCTCCAAACCCCAGTTCTCCCTCCTGCAAACGTCTGAAACTCTCACTGTATGTCCCACAGACAGACCTCAGTAGAAATACTAGTTTAATTTTCTTTATATACCATTCCTCGGAGTTCTGGGCTTATGTAGGACATTTTTACGGACAGAGTCAAGCTGCCAACCTCCACTCCCAGAAGGGAACCAGCTCTTCTGGCCTGTGGTAAAGAAGTACTTCCAGCTCAACCCAATCCCACCTTTTTGAGCACAAAATAGGCTGATAACGTACCATATGTTCAGTATAGCTTACCTCTGTGTGTATGCTTATGCAAATTTATATGGTCTCTGCAAAACTGCAATTTCACTTTCCAAAACTATATATGGAATCTTTTCTGTACCAGGGTCACATTTGAAAACCTGCTGGATTATTCCCAGCAAGTCTGGTAACACTGCTCTACAGCCAAAATGCTTCTGAAATAAATGTAGTCAAACTTTACTAATTCTGGGTCACTGAGAACGAAAATGATGCTTAAAATTGTTGATTGGCTCTAGTTTTCAAGATATGCTATTGGGTCAGTATATACGACCCTTGACTTGGGAATGGCGGAGAATAAGTGAGTTATAAAGGGAAGGGACCTCAATTTAAACCAGAAATGACTAAAATACATCTTTGACTGGATCTATGAATAAATCTATGACTGGGTTTGGACAGTACTTGCTTTTTAGGCAAAACAATGAATGATGCAATCTGAAGCTGGTATTGCGTCATACATGATATGAATTGCATCATGTTATTCCTAGAAGTCATGGATGATGCAATCATAATGAAGCTTACATCACTCTGCTGAACAAATTGCCCTATATCAGCTCTAGAAATCATACAGTGTCGTGCTCTCTTATTTGTCAGTGTTTGATTTTGCAAAGGGACACATTTCTGTTTAGCCAAAGTGAGCAGAGATGCCTCGTACTTGTGTGAACAGTGCAGATAACTTCTGCTATGTTTGTGGTGAAGTGACTTTTGCATCACAAAAGCGCAGTATAACCACTATGGTTAAGAAAGCCTATCACCTTTATTTTGGCTGCAAAATAGGAGAGCAGGACAAGAGGTGGGCCCCACACATATGCTGCAACACTTGTGCAACAAATCTTCGCCAGTGGTTGAACAGGAAAAGGAAATCTATGCCTTTTGCAGTGCCAATGATTTGGAGAGAGCCAACAGATCATACCAGCAATTGTTACTTCTGCATGGTGCCTCCAGTTGGGAAAGGTGTGTCAAAGAAGAAAAAGTGGACTGTGCATTATCCAAACATTTCATCAGCTATACGCCCAGTACCCCATGGAGGAGGACTGCCGGTTCCTGATGCACCAGAATCATTCTCACTTGAGTCAGACGAGGAAGAGGAAGAGGATGAAACTTCTGGTCCTGAACCATCA